ATTACAGAGAAGAGGTCAAATAGTGAAGCCCAAGATTTTCTAAATTCTTGTCGAATCAATTTATTTATTTATTTGTTTGTTTGTTTTTGTTCAATTACACTGGTCCCAAATTTCTCCACATTGCTCTCCCTACGCTGCCCACCCGCACAAAGACCTGCTGGTTATATTTTCTTTGCTTGTTTGTTCTGTTGATTAGATTCCACTTATAGGTGAGATCATATGGTATTTGTCTTTCGCCCCCTGGCTTATTTCACTTAGCATAATGCTCTCCAGTTCCATCCATGCCGTCGCAAAGGGTAGTAGCTCTTTCTTTCTTTCTGCTGTGTAGTATTCCATTGCGTAAATGTACCATAGTTTTTTGATCCACTCATTTACTGATGGGCACTTAGGTTGCTTCCAGCACTTGACTATTGTAAATTGTGCTGCTATGAACATTGGGGTGCATAGGTTCTTCTAAATTGCTGTTTTGGGATTCTTAGGGTATACTCCCAGCAGTGGAATCGTTGGGTCAAAAGGCAGTTCCATTTTTAGCTTTCTGAGGAAATTCCAAACTGCTTTCCACAGTCTGCATTCCCACCTACAGTATACTAGGGTTCCCTTTTCTCCACAGCCTCGCCAGCACCTGTTGTTTGTTGATCTGTTTATGATGGCCATTCTGACCGGTGTGAGGTGGTATCTCATTGTGGTTTTAATTTCCATTTCTCTGATGGCTAGTGATGCTAAGTATCCTTTCATATGTCTCAATTTAAATATTTTTATTGAAAATATGTTTTCAGAAAGCCTAACACACATACCTATGTATGCACAAACTAGGTAAATATAAAGCAGATATGGAGATTGATGGATTATTTCCCAATTTAAGTTATCCATATTTGTAGGTACCCCTCTTATATCTATAATGACTCCATGAGTTAATTATTCAAACTGTGTTGCTACTTAAAACATCTGTTTTTAAATTAATGTATCTTAAGATTGAAATTAATTTTCTGCTGTAGATACAAAAAGATTGTTTGAAATTTTAAATGTCCTTTGCAATCCCACTTCGAGACTAAGGTGAAGTAGATGCACTCCTGCTTATGTTTATCAATAAGTAGAGCTAAAAGGCCTGGCATTGTATTTAAAACAAATGTAGGATTCTAGAAGGTGAGAGAAAGGAAGATCACCTAGGGACCTGAGGACCCAAGGCATGACAGGGCAGTAAATTCTGTGAGTTTTCTTTTAGCCTCATATAATAAGATGGCCAGCAACCAGGAAATGCCAAAGGGCACAAACAAAAACATCCCCAAGAAATGCCATCCCTCTCCAGCCAAAGGACCGTGAGAGGGGCAGGACAGGAAACTTTTAGATAATAAACACCCTACGGTAGCCATACCCCATGGGGAAAAATACAACCCCAACTCCAGCTCTGTGAGCAAAGGCCAGAGTGCTGAGCTCAGACTTCCACCTTCACCCAGCGATCAAGCGCTGCCCTGGCTGACCCCTGAGGTGGTGACAGAGAAGGCCAGGGGGTTTGCACACATTTTTAGGCCTTGCATCCCCACCCAGAGGCAAGGCGGCTCCAACTCCCCACCTTTCCTGAGTCAGAGGAAGCTGAGTGGGGAGCCGGAACTTTCACAACCATTCAGAAGTAACAAGGCCTCCTGGCTCCATTGTGTTAGTACAAGCACATGGGAAACAGCTACAGAGAACCTCTCCTCCTCCAACACAAGACCAAGATGGGGCCTGAAATTCCACTTTCTCTCCAGAGTAAGGAGGCGCCCCTTCTACCCAGGGTGTCAAAGGCAGCTGAATGGGAAATCTGTGATCTCACCCCACACCTGACATTAACAAAGTGGCATCCACCCTTCCCCAACCTGCGCAGTGTCAGGTTGAGCAGCCTACCTGAGGCCTGTTAAAATACAGTATTTAACACAAAATACCCCAAATATGTAGGATATAATTAAAAACCACTCATTATACCAAAACAAACACTAACCACTATTTTCACTTTTTGCCTTTTTAAAAATAAAAGCTAAAATCCTCCCTGGAAAACAGGTACTAATGTAGGTCTTTCATTAAAGCAGGTAGTGTTAAGGCATACTTTCAAAAAAGCAGGGGTTACGTGTATCAGCTGAACAGAATGCTCGCCTTTGCGTACAATTTGGCTATGGGACCTCCTAGTACGTTTGGCTATCACTTATTTATCCAAGGTGATAAAATACTCCCTAAGTTAATTTACTCTTAATCACATGGTATAAAAAAGGAGAGAGGCCCTTCTTAGTACTGAAGTAAAATCACCTGAAAAAAAGATTTCTTTGGAAGTACTGCTTCCTGTAAAAGGAAGATTCTTTTAAATTGAATATTAGTTTTGAAGACCCAAGTTGTAACTATTCAGCTATCACTATTAGCAGTAAAAGCAGTAAATCAATGATAATGCCACTTGGCATTTATATAAGTCTTTACTGTGACAATCTCAAGTGCTGTCCTAGATTAGACACTAGATGGTTTCTCAGGTATGTTATTGTTCTCATTAATAGAACTGAGAAACTAAACTTGCAAAGGTATACATCACACACAGGGCCCAGAAAAAGTTAGCTAATGTAGACAAGAAAACACAAAGTTCTGTCAGTATTCAGTACTGTGTCTTCTAATAAGCTTCTCAATTCCAGGTATGGGGCTGGTAAATGTGGCCGTACACAACGTAATTAACCCTCGGTGAACAGGGTGCATCACAGTAGTTCACATTCACTCAAGAATATTAATTGAGCCGCATTATATGCCAGGTATTGCTCTAGGTACAAGAAAAGAAAGTTCCTGATCTCATGGAGCTTACATTCTGGTGAGGGAAAACAAAAAATAAACGAATCAAAATAAAATAACAGGTGCAGATAAATGCTATGAGGAGGGGCCAAAAAGCAAAGAAGCGAAGCTAGGGAATGCTGAGCATGCACACAGTTCTCATTTCCTATAGCATGGTAAAGAAAGCGTCCACAAAAGCAGGTATCTGAAGGTTCACTGAGATGTCTTAAAATATAATTTTCAAAAAGTTAAAATGTGACATATAAATATAAATTGAACATGTCAAAGATTTCTTCTACACATTTATTAATAAATATATCATTTATGTTAAGATTAATTTTCTCATACTTCCTAACCTGATGTATTGGTAAGTGGCATCATTCATGGCCTTATCCACCCCCATTAGAGTAACTCATTTACAACTGGCAACCTGGCTTGATTAACAATTCAAAGCATACCTGTTCTTTCTAAAGAAATATAAAGTTCTTTTCAATGGAGTATCAACTGTTACAATGATTGCAAAAGTTCATTTACAATTAAATATATAAAGACTAAATAAATCAGAGGTTAAGATTAGTTCAAAGTGCATTTGAATATATATAGAGAGAAATATATTTATTTATATAATTTAAATAATGGATCGTTAGATAAGGAGTGCTAGGCTAGAGAAAAACCTGGTGATTGTCCTCCTATAGGATTGTTTTTTTCTAACAAACAGAAATTGTTTGCATTGTCTCTGGGAAAAAATAATTAGTATATAATATCAATAAACCATGAGTCAAATAAAGTACACTCTCCTAAATAATCCTTGGGTAGGCCTATTAAATGATGTTCCCATAGACACTGAAAGAAGACACTGTTCAGCCTAATTTTTAACAGAGCTATGTAAATATCTGGAGGTAAGGCATTCCAGGCAGAGAGACTATGAGTAAATCATAAACCATTTCCCTCCACTCACCATTCCAACAGCCAAGGAATGCCCTCCCAGATAGACTCACATATTCACCTGGACCTTATTATGAAGTGTGGTGTAAGTAAATAGCTGGGGGTAAGTTGGAAAAGATGAAGAAACCAGAAGATTTACACTGGAAGGAGAATGAGAATTGAGGCTGGGAAATAATCTGATTTACATTTTTAAAAACACTACCTACTGAAATAAAGACTCATTAAGAAGACCAAGAGTAGAAGCTAGAAGACTACTTAGGAGGCTATTAAAATAATCTAGGCAAATAAACAAGCTGGTCAGATGGAAAAGTGCTAAGGAAGAAAAAAAACCATAGTATGGGAAGGCTGGTAGGGGATGCCAACATTATCTGGAAAGGTGATAAAGTGGTATCTGCATGAAGACCTGAATGATATATAAAAAGAAAAAATGCAGAAAATTAAAAGACTGTTTCAGGTATATGGATAAAGCAAAATGATGAGAAGAGGCAGGGAAAAGACAGGGAGAAAGGACAAAGAGGAATATAGGCATTGCAAACCATTTTACGGACTCACTTGACTTTTGGTTTGGGTGAGATGAGAAGCCACTAAAGCTTTCAGAGCAGAGCAATGACAGTCAACTTGAAGTATTAACGAGATGAGATGGCTGCAAGGTGGAGAACAGCCTGTAAGAAGGCAACAACAGAAGCGAGGGAGAAATAAGAATGGCCTAGAATAGGTTGGTAGCAGTGACCACAATGACAAACAGTTGAAATCTGAATATTTTGTAGGTAGAGCCAACAGGTTCTCCTGAAGGAACAGACAAAGAGTAAGCACAAAAAAGATTGATGCAGTTTTCAGCCTTAGCAAAAGAAAGAGTTGCCATTTACTGAGATGGGGAAGGACAAAAAAAACAAGTTTATTAAGGAAATCTGAGGAGGCAAAGAAAAGGAAACATTGATTACTGTATATGAAAAAGGTTAAATATCTCAATTTGGGGTTTATAGGATTCTAAAATTCTTATATATAATCACAGGTAAGAGAAATCAGAATGCCCAAATTCCAAATTTTATCAATCAGAAGTAGAATACTTTTCACTAAACTGAGTCTCAAACAATTAACCCCCACAGCTTCTCACATATTCATACTTTCACAATGACATTTATCATTAATTTCATCCATGTCAGTCAATATTTTACATACTAATTGTTCATGCAAAAAGTATTTATTTAGCACTTTTTGAAATATTACATACTTCATCAAAAGGCCTACATATTAAGTTGTAAACATAATCGGTTTACCTGAAGTTCTTTGTATCTATCTTGAAAAGAAATGGCCTCTTGCTCTTTTTCTTTAAGGAAATCTTTTTCCAAGACACTATGTTTTTCTATCAACAATTCCACATCCTAAAAAAGAAATCCAACCACAAATTATGTAATAGGTAATGGCATGAAATACATTTAGTTCTTTCAATGAACATACTAGAAAATATTTGGTAAGAAAAAAGCCCATAGGAAGTTTAATATTATTATAGATGGTATGCTTCTAACACTAAAATTATTCATGCTAATAAATGAATAAAGGCATCTAAGATAATTGCAATCAATACAATCTATCTCAACATATACTTTCTAGAAATTTGCTATGGTCTTTCTGCAGATAAATTTGTAGGAAAAAGAAATGAGAACATAAATAAATAATTTACTAAAATAGCTGTATATCTAAGTACTCTTGTCAAGTATCCCATGACACCTGACTTCACATAGGACAAGTTTGGTGTAAGTAAATAGCTGGGGATAAACTGTTACAAATCTTCTAAACTATGTAAGAAAAGCAATACTACCTATTCACAAGGTAAATTAAAACAAACCAGAAAAAAAGCATTAGTTAGAAAAAAATATCTAGTAAAAGATGTTCATGTCTTTAAAAGTACATATTTAAGACAAGAGATTACTTATCAAAGCCTCCTAAGTGATAAACTCAAAATGACTGATTTAAAACGAGAGCAAGGAGCACAGTATCCTCTTCCTCTCACTGATGAATTTGTAATCAGATATTGGGATTATATCAAATTTCCAGAATGTATAATTCAAACATTTATTTTTTGGGAAAAATGTAAATATACCTTTTTAATTCTCTGTTTTTCTTCTTCGGAAACTTTGAGTTTAATCTCCAGACTTGAAATTTTCTGCTGAAGCTGTATGTTTGATACATTGGCTCCAGGATCCTCAGAATCATCCACAAGAGCAATTGTTCCATTACTTTTCTCATCAGTTAAACCCAATGGAAAAAGTGAGATATCCAGATCAGTGTGTGTTGATTGCTGAATCTAAACCACATTAAAAAAAATATATACAAGAGGGAAAAGTTTACACTGTACCAATAATGAAAACATCCAAAGGGCACTAGAAACCACATTTGGAAATTAAGTTGTAGAAAGGACTCCGAAATTATTTCCCCCTTTAAGTAAATCAACAGAAGACCTCAAACTGTTACAACCTGATCTTTGCAGTAAGACACAAAATTTCCTCTAAGCTTTAGAGTTTAAAGCAGCATGTATTATTTTGCAAACATAGCACTAAAAAATTAAAACTTTTTCTTATGCTTGAAAGTGTGTAATTATATATAGACACATCTGTTACCAGTTCTTGACTTTACACACATGCACAGAATTTGCTAATTTTAAATTGTAAGTCAGAATTTGAAATTTATCAATAATCTTTAATTAATTATCATTTTCTAGTGTACAACAGGTGACTCAACTGCATATAGCACTTGGGAAATCTGGACTAAATCCAACATCTAGCACAATGCCTGGATCAATACATATCTGAATAAACTCAAGAACAGTTAGCTTTTTACATTTTACACTAAAATTGCAAAGAACACTCTAATACATGAAAACCTATAATAAGGATCCCTGAAAAGAGTAGTTATTCTTTTTTTGTAATTATCTTCCCTTCTGAAGTTGAAGATTTGAAATGCAAAACTAAATCAATTTTAATAAATGAAATACTTGAACTATATTTTAGTAACTAAACTACTCAAATACCATGTACAATTGTTCCACGAAACAAATATATTATTCAGTTTTTTTATTTTTTAGGTATTAGCCTCAAAGTTAGAATATCTACAGCAATGTTTTTCAGAAAGTTATAAAAAGAAATCAGAAAATTTTCAAAGCTTCAATTAAATCAGTATGAAGCTTTTTTAAGCAAGCCTATTTCCAATAAAAATATGATTGTCTTTACCTGTGTTTTAGGAGCTGTCTGACTGACAATGCTGTTGTCTGCATGTGTGATCTCTGGCGATGAAACGGGCTCAGAAGAGAGACAGCCAACTGGAGGAGGAGAGTGGTCATGGTCCAGTACAATCGCAGGAGACGCTGGAGAAAGGTGGACTGCAGATACTAAAGGAAAGCAAACAAAAAGATGATTAGAGAGAAGATAACAGGTTAAAGGGAAGAAAGAGAGCAGAGTGAGGGAGGGAAAGGGGAAAAGGTAAAAGAGGTACAAGCAAAATGAGTGAAAAATGAGGATTCTATGACTATTCTTTTTTTTTTAATTTTATTTTAATTTATTTTTTCAAATACATTTGTCTCTGCCTACCCCCCACCACTTTCCCTTCTTGAAGAACTATTACCTGAACTCTAAAACTAGTGTTTCTTAATTTAACATGACATTTCGATGAGACCCAGGCAAACAAAATAATTTAATAATGTCTTAGTGTTTACATAAAACACATTACCATAAGAAGTGCTTTTCCAACTCAGAGAAAGTATTTAAACCTATTACCTATCTATCAAGTTAGTTAACAAAAAGCACTAGCATACCTACTGGTGCCAGTCACAGACAGGCACTAACTAGGCACTGAGAGGACAGCAGTGAGCAAGACAAGCATTTATGTACCCAATGACCTTATGACCCCAACGGTCAAGTCAAATCTATTATTTATTACAACAAAATGAGCGAAGGGGGTAAAGAATTATTTAAAATAATTAATAGCCACTGTCTCTGTGTTAACTTCTTTTTCAACAACAAAAGGTTTTTCACATTAAAGTCAATATTAGTTTAATGAATTTTTTTTTAAAAACAATGTTGAAATATAATTTTGTAATTAGGTTTGCCACAAAACATTAGATTGTGATTGGTTCTAATACAAAAGTCACAAAAGGAAAGCCAATCGATGAGGGCAAAATAAACAGATTGTATTACTTTACTTTCAAATGTTCTTTCTAAAAATTCAAATACACTGATCTGTACTATGTATTTTAAAGTTTAAGAAGAGTAATTATTTTTAGCAGTAATCCATTTATATGTTCTGACTTTCTAAATTATAAAGACCTTTATTCCACATTGGCATCAGTGGCAACGTCAGCGAAGTTCTACCATAAATTCTGGAAGGTAGCTCACAATGGAAATTGCATTTTTGCCTGAAGAAAAAATTTATATGGTCATTTGGTACTAATAAACTAAAAAATACATCAATTTCTGATTGGTATTCTGCGGAATTATTTAGTTATCTTACATACACTTTCACAGCAATGTTGTGTTTTTAAAATAGTATGTTCCATACTCAATGAGGAATTCCAGATTCTCCCATAAAAATTTCACTATTTTAACTAAAACATAGAAAAGTAGAATCAAGTCATATTTGTATATTTTTCTGAAAAAGAATTACTTCTTAAAAGTAATTTCTGAACAAGATATTACTAGTTTTACTATTCTATATGCTAACAGATTTCTCTGAAATGCCATAATATTCTTTCTAATTCTAAACTATAATTTATAACAGAAATATTATTAATTAATTTTAAAGGTATGAAATCAGTACTATAGTATAGTAACAGGGAATACAGCCCTGTTATTAAGACCATAGACTGTAGAACCTAATTGCCATACCCGGTACAGGGCGAATGACAAGTTTACTTTCCTCAGTTTCCTCATCTGTAAAATTGGCATAGATTTACCTATGAGGTATAAATTGACAAAAATATAGAAATCTTTTAGCACTGTGCTGATATCATTTTCATTATTATCTCAAAGACTAAATCTCGTTAGAAAAGTCTGTTTACTTCTAGACATAAAAGGCACGTATGACTATGATACTGGATTCAAGAAACTCTTAAAAATATCACTCTGATCTAACACCTGAACATTTTAACATCTCTTTATGTTTTCACATTTATAGTCAAATCCAAGACAAGATATCACGCTGACCCAAGTTAAATCTGTAACATTAAATATTCAAGTATATCACATTAGAAAAAGAAGGGGAAAGTGGTACAATAAAGGGAAGGAGAGAGGAAGGAAAGAAGGAGATAAACAAAGGGAAGGGAAAGGGAGATGTTGAGGAAGGAACGTAGGGAAAGGGCAAGAGAGGCTTCCTCACCTTCATACCTTCCACTAGCTACTGCCACCTATCACTTTCCGTTCATATCCAATTGTTTTATCTCCAAATGAGTCCTGTCAATTTTCTTCTTCACCCAACCCTCATCACTCCACCAAACTCATCAGTTAAGACTCTTTTCAGTTACTATTAAATCAAATGAACCCTTATTTTATCTTTCTTTAGTTCTCCATAGTACTAATATTAATGACTGTTCCTTTACCTTGCCATTTCCCTTGGCACCTGTGAACTACTATATCCTAGGTTTCCTCCTAATATTTTGACTAAGTTTTCTTGTTTTCTCCACTCAATCCTAAGAGTCACTATTTCCTTCATGCTCTCATCTCAATATTTACATTATTCTTATCCCTTTCAAAATCCATTATTTAAACTATCACCTATAAGCTAATGATACCAAAATTCATATCTACAGCACTAACCACTCTGCAGACCTCCAGATCCATGTAGCTGTCTAGTAGGTACATCAGGCTTACCCATCATCTTATATAGACCTGCTTTGCTTCATGTTTTCCATTTTAGTTAACAGCATCTCAGTGATCTATTTGTCCAAGCCAGGATGATACTACTAAGGGCTGACTTTATTTCAGTCACTCTGCTACCAACACTTACTGATCATGCCATGCTGTTTCATACCTCTGTGACCTCACAATATTACTGCTCAAGTGAAAGCCATAGCCATAGAGTCAGAAGTGGTTTTAAATTTCAACAATAGCAACTTACTTATTATGCAGTCTTGGGCAAATTACACAAACCCATCTAAACCACAGATTCCTCTTCTGAAAATAGGGAAATAATATGTTTCTCAAAATGATGTAATGCAGCTTAAATTAGATAATGTAAATAAACTGCTTGGCTACACCAGATAGGTACATAATAAACATTTGATAAATGTAAATTGGCACTGAATGTTTTGTTATTTGGCAGTATTTAAAAAAAAGCCTTTATTTAGGACTCTTTTCACCTGCTCCATTACCCATCCAATTACAATATAATTTTAATTTCCCCCTGTCAATATGTTACAATTTTTTAAAGAAATAATGATATTAGTACATTACATATCCATCTATGGAATACATTTAAAGCAGTGTTTAAAAATATATATAGCTTTGAATACTTTAATCTAAAAAATAAATGATTCAAATTATCAGCTCATAAACTAAATAGAAACAAAAAAGCAATATAAAAATAATAAAGATAATATAGGTATAAAGTTAAATTAGGAAAATAGACATAATAAATCAAAAATCTGAATACCTAAAATAGTAAACAAAATAGTAGTTAACTTACTAACAGTAAAAGAGCAAAAGTACAAATATACAAATTAAGTGACAAAGGGAACCTAATAATTAAAACAGAAGAAAAATATTTTAAATCATAAAACTCCTCTACAGAATTCTCAGTAAATAAATTTGAAGATCTGGGGGGTAGGGCAGAGGTCAATACACAAGAAAAACAACATGGTTTACAAAAGGTGATCTGCTTAAAGCTTAAAAAAAGAACTTTGAAAAATAAATCTATTTTCTTGGGAAAAAAATGAAGTTCTCAGGCAACAAGCCCAGAGATAAAGCATTTCACCATTTCACAAGAGGATTTCTACTAAAAACTTATAAAATGGATAATACCAATGCTCTAAAATGGTTCCGAAGCATTAAAAAATAAAAGCTTTATTGGCTTACATAACAGTAACATGACATTAATAGCTAAGCCTGACAGTACAAAAACAGAACAGACATTATCACAGCATCACATAAAAACAAAACAGAATCCAACACCACACTGAGAACATACTATGTGATGAACAAGTCATATTTGTTCCAGGAATACAAGGCTAGTTCACTATTAAGGAATTCACTAATATAATACTCCATATTGCCAGACTTAAAGGAAAAATGGCATGTTTGTCTCCAAGACTGATAATGCTTTTGATAAAAATGAACAGCTGTATTTGTTAAAAACACTGAAGAAAATAGGAATTGATGAATACTTTCTCAACACAATAAATATAGACCTTAGTCCTAAAGTCAGCATGTTAATTAACAAACAAAAAAAAGATGAAATTACATTAATACAGCTAAGGTCAAAATAAGACAAGGATGACTACTATCTCCACACCATTTAACAGTGCAATAAAGGCATGAGCCAATGCAATTAGACAAGATAAATTAAAGTATAAAATAGAAAAAGAAAAAAAACTATCTCATGTTCAAGTCAAAGCATAAACACATTCAGTGAAGTAGCAAGGTAAAATTTATTGAATAGAAATAGCATTCATATGTAAAAACAATAAGTATTTACAAAATGTAATGTTAAAGAAAATACTACTTTCTATAACCACAAAAAAGATAAAAAATTAGGAATAAACTTGGCAAGAAACATGAGGAAAATTAAAATACTTCTAAAACACACAAAGGTATACCTGAACATTCCTTGTAATTAGATAGGAAACCAAATATAATAAACATGCCAATCTTCCCTTAGTTATTTTATAGGCCTAATATAATTCCAACAGAAGAATCAATAAGCTTTTTTATAGTGGAGCTAGACTAATGGACATTAAACGTAACATAAAAGTAAAAATGCAAAAAGACAGGAAATTAATTTTTAAAAGGATAAGGAGGCTACCAGCCCCTCCTATTAAAATACACTAATTTAAAGCATACCAAAATATACTAACAACCTTATTAATATATACTACATTAAATTACATTAAAATAGTTAAGATACAGGCCCTGGCTAGTACGGCTCAGTGGACTGAGTGCCAGCCTGCAAGGGTTGTCAGTACGATTCCAAGTCAGGGCACATGCCTGGGTTGCAGGCCAGGTTTCCCAGTAGGGGGCACGCGAGAGGCAACCACACACTGGTGTTTCTCTTTCTCCCTCCTTCTCCTCTCTAAAAATACTTTTTAAAAAAAGCTTTAAATATTAAAATAAAAAGTTTTTAAAAACATAAGATACATCCTTTATAATTTAAACAGTATGTTTTTTGGAGGAGTAATAAACA